TTTTTTTTTTTTTTGGGGGGGGGGGGTTCTCTTTTCGTGTTTAATGTTTTCAATAAAATTTGTAAATTAAAAAAAACACACCAACAAATCATTTGTTATTGTTATTGTTATTGTTATACAGTATTACGTCTCACATTATCGAGCACATACTTTGTCTTTTCGTGCTTCTACTACTGATTGTGTTTTGGTGCTTCTGTGTTGCTATGCTGCACCTTGTTTTTATAGTTTGTTACTGTTGTCATTATTGTTGTTGTTATTGCTGTTGCAGTCATTGTAGCTGTTTTTGTCCTTATTGCTGTGTCTGGGTTTTAATAGTGTTATTGTTTGCTGCTGTTGCTGTTGTTTTTGTTGCTTCTGTTGTTTTTATTAATTCAAGTTACCTTGGTATCTGCAGTTTCTGTGTTTTATTCCGAAATGTCACATACTGACAATTTCTGATTCCACGTTGTGTTGGGTTTTTTTTTCATGTTTCTGTTTCGACTTCTTTTCTATCACCTGTGGTAAAGAAACTAACGCCTTCTTTTATTCCTGGATAAAACGTATCTGTCATGGATAGAAAAGGCTTACGTTATACTGAAGGCGAAGTAATTACTTCTTCCCTTGTTATGACTTAATGTGAAATTAAATAAACACGAAATAAAAAATTCTTAGAAAGACAGAATAAAATGGTTTGGCCACCTCCTGTTAAGTATGTCACCTGGCCAGTCAGCCTCGAGAGCCTACAACACTCAGGCTATAAAGAAAGAGGAACGCCACGTAAAAGGTGGGTTGAGGTTGTCAGGTAAATCCTGAAAAAACATACATAGTAACACAACTGAGAGAGATCATGCTGAGTTTGCCTACCACGGAAAATTGCATCTCCCCCTCGACACTTAAAGGTAACAGAGGATGAAAATTAAAGTAAAAGTATAAAGTACATGTATAAACAACACAGAGGAGAACGAAACAAAATAGTTGTTCGTTCTGAAGGATTTCCACCTCGTTCTTCTGTTTGGATAATAATCCAGCATGTCAAATACTTATCCTCGGTCTTTTGCGCATGTGTGAGTGTGAGTTGGGGAGGAGCAAGGAAGGTTGGGGAAGGGGGGTCTTGGTACAGGGTTAGTGTTAGTAGGTCGTACTCTTTTTTTTTTCCTTCTGATTCTGCTGAAGAAAGCGGCCAGCTCATGTGGTATAGTGATAAGGCATTCTGCCGTCTTAAGCAAAAGAATTGCACTTAATTCCCGTATAGTACCGTATAGTGAGAATTTTTGCCAAATCGGACGTTCTGCTGGGACCATAATATACTCATATTATTATTATAGATCTAAATTTTTCTATTCCTTTCTACTTCAGTTGACCCTGACAAAGCCTAAATCTTAAAAGAAAGAAATTGAATATTTGGTTTTGTACAACCACCCCCCCCCCAAACCACAAAACCAACTTTTCCTTTTCCCCTAACTTATTACTCGGGTTTTTTTTCGTTTTTTTGGGTAAGTGTTTTACGGTGCTCGCAACTTCACAAGGTTATAAAAAATTGTGAGTTCGAAGGACACATTTGATAGACATTTTCAGTTGGTAGGAAGCCAACTTTTAGATGTTGCACATTACGTCATGCAAAGGCCAACTAGTGCTGAGAGGAGTATATAACGTACTAATAAAAGTGGTGAAATACAAGTAGAATCTAAGGGGGGCTCTCGTGGCCTAGAGTGCCTAGAGGTTAAGGTGTTGGCCTCTCATTCAAAGGTCCCGGGTTCGAATCCGGGTAGCGACCGAAACATTTCTTCCCTAAAATGGTCTCCTTTCACTTTCACTTTCACCTCCTTTCCTGCTCTCTAGCAATGTTCTGTTGTCTGATTTCATTTCCACTTTCTGCCCCCACCCCCTCACCTGCTTTGCGCCCTCCTCTGGGCTGCTGACTGTTTCTGCAGCTTTTCTACTGCTACTCCTTTGCTCCTCCTTACTGCTGTCTTTCTGCCACACCCCTGATCGTCTGGTAGGAAAGATCCACACCTAGCCCTCTCGGACAAGGGCGAAAAACCTCGGAGGGCCCGTGTGCAAGTTGCGCACGTTAAAGATCCCTTGGCGGTCTAAAATCGATTAGAGTAAGAGTAGGCTTCGGCCTCCACCAAGGCAAAATTCAAAATGTCCTACCAACTGAAAATATTAGGTGTGTCCCGCGCGCTCATATGACCTTATGCAGTTGCGAGCGCCGTAAAACACTTTACAAAAACAAAAAACACCACCAAAAAAAAAAAAGAATCTAAGCCTACTTGATAAGAAATTTTCAGCACATGGGAATTGAACCCAAATCTTCTGCGTGAGGAGACGTCCATGTACCTCAGTGTGCAGCGCCCCAAGCATCACCACAAACTTGTCCTCTCCCAAGACACCTGAAAATTTCCACGGAATCTTCTTTGCCAATGTAAAGAGTGGCTGATCAGCAACCATGACCGGGGTCTGTCCTGAATTCAGTTGCTTTGTAACAGCAGCAACAATGTTCATCCCATGGAATACCATCATTGGACTGTGAGTTGATTCCCTAAAAAGGGGAAGCATCATCAATGGGGTGACTGGTGAAAGCGGAGGTCCAAGCTTGTCAATTATGCAAAATATATATAATTCATAATCACATCATGTGACTAACATTACAACATATTGAATAAATAAAAAACCGGACCTTCAAATCCAAAATTTTGATTTCAATGGTTAAGGCATCCCCAAAAACATATATTTTGACACCATTTTCATGAAAATCGAAGATGTGTATGATAATTTAGAGTTATTTTCATTTTGCTTGATTTTTCCATGGCGGCCATTTTTAATTAATACAAATTAGAGTGAAATTATGCAGATAGAGCTTGTGTCCGTTTATCAAAATTCTTAGTTTTGTTCAAGGTACGTGTGTGCCAAGTGGCATGTTCCTACTAAAATTTGCAGTGGGGGTGGAGTTAGGGAGCCCACTATAACAGTAGCAACAATGATCATAATAACAATAATAATTAATATAAATACAATAACAACAACAATGATAATAATAACAATAATGATATAAGAATAAGTATTATTATAATAATAACAAAAACAATGATAATAGTAATAACAATGATAATTATAATAATAATTAATAATAACACATAACAACAACACATAATAACAACACATGATAATAATAATAATAGAGTAGACCTAATACATATTATATATCCGAGGCCGTCGCGTCTCCCTGGAGACCATATACCCAGGTGAATAAATACACAAAAGTAGGCCGCCACTGCACGTTCCTTGGGACTACATGCATTTTATTTCTCCGGAGAAACGAACCCCATGCATCACTTTTCAGGGACACAGGCAGAAGTGGGTCGCTGGTCTGTCCCGGCGGTTTTATGCACACACAAAATATTCTGAAATTATGCAAACTGAGCCCAAAACTGTGAAATTATGCGATTCTGTTAATTTTAACAAAGAATGATAAAGGAAAATAATCAGAAATTATGCCCCCCAAAAAATTACCCAATTTTGCTAAATTATGCGGGGTGCATAAAAACCCCGGGGACAGGCTGGTCTGTTGCTGGATTAAAAACAACAATAAGGGGGCTCTCGTGGCCTTAGATGTAGTGTTGGCCTCTTGTTCAATAGGTGCCGGGTAACATTTTCTTCTTTAAAATTTTCTTCTTTGCTGCTCTCCAAGTATGTTCTGTCATCTGCTTTCATTCCCACTTCTGACCCCCCCCCCCTCTTTTTTTCCCCTCTGGGATCCTGACTCTTTTTCATTGCTACCCATGGCTCCTTCCTACTGCTGCCTTTCAGCCACTCCCCTGATCTCAAAGTAGGTGAGATCAAACACCTTGCCTTCTCTCAGAGAAGTGCGAATAAAATCTCATGTGTAAGTTGCGCACGTTAAAGATCCCTTGGAGGTCCCAGAATCGATAAAAGCGATCAAACTGAAAATGTTTAATGTGTCCCGTTCGCTCTTATTATTCATATTATTATAGGACCTCATGCAGTTGCGAGCGCCGCAGAAACACTTACCACAACAAACAAACAAAAAACAGAAAGACCGATATACTTGATAAAAATGTCTTCCCAAACAGGAATCGAACTCGGGTCTCCTGCAAGCGACAGCGAGGCCCCAAATCGCTGCAGCACAGCAGACGCTATGGTATTGGTATGTGGCCTCAGGTCAAATCGTGATATTATGCAGTTTGTAGTGTGCAGGCTTGCCGTAAAATCCAAGCAAATAGCTTAATAAAAACCCAGGCCCTAACAATACCGAAACAGTCGTCAACAGCACCTTCAACTCCTCACTATTTTTTACTATCGTGTTTTTAAAATATGTTGTGTCAATGAGCTTTTCGCATTTTTGTTTTGTTTGTTTTTGTTTTTGTCTAATGCAATTAAGTTTTGCACCTCGTAAACCTGGGATTTTGGTCTTTTAAAAAAATCGTAATATGTTTTACACCCCTATCGACGCAGTTTTTAAGTCTTGAGGTGGACTATAAGTCAGGGCCAAACCAAGTTGAGTGGGAGACAACATCCCAGACGGAGATATGCGATGAAGAACTTCCCAACTCGGGAATTGAACCCATGTGAATGCCTGATAATTTTGCCCGAGTGGCGGCCGAAGTCTACTCTTATCGATTTTGGACCACCAAGGGATCTTTAACGTGCGCAACATGCACATGGGACCTCCGCGATTTTTCGCCCTTGTCCCAGAAGGCTAGGTGTAGATCTTTTCTGCTATAAGATCAGGGGTGTGGCTGAAAGACATCAGTACGAAGGAGCCAAGGAGTAGCAGTAGAAAGGCTGCAGAAAGAGTCAGGATCCCAGAGGAGGGGTCAAAGGGGATGAGGGCAGAAAGTAGAGGCGAAAACAGACAACAGAACATTCCAAGAGAGCAGAAAAGGGGATGAAAGGAGACAATTTATTAAGAGAAAAAAATTTTCAGTCGCAATCCGGATTCGAACACGAGACCTATTGAATGAGAGGCGAACACCTTAACCTCTAGGCTACGACAGCCCCCTTGCGTCCTTGGGAACATAACGCAGGTCACTTACGAACGAGGTAGGACAAACCGCTTGAATGCACACTGAGCAGGTTTTAATTTGGATAGCCTTTTATGGCACTTGCAACACAATGAGGTCATAATATAAATGTTGAAGAATAATGGTGCTACAGGAGAGTAACAAACACAAAAAAGGAAGAAGGAAAGATGATAAGGACGATAGATGTTTGATATGAAAAAAGGAGTAAACCACACCAGAGCACCCACCAGCCACCCACACTGGACGGATGAAAAGCCTCACAAAAGTCTTTCAACTCCATCGTGCAATAAGTTCAGCAACACCCTTAATGAGTCCCCTGCTCTGGTCGTCACACTCTTCTAAACCCAGAACCATATCAGCTCAGGTGAAAGCAGCCTGCTTTTAACAACTTTTCGAAATTTTTCACAAACGCTCAGAATGACAAAGAAAAAACGGTATTTATCTTTGTCGAGATAAGAACAGATAACAACTGACAACAACAAATAACAACTGACTACCTTAAAAACCAAGTAAAAGTAACCAAATGAGGACGTTTGTGTTGATATTTGTCGTTTTTTTTTATTGTTATCAGTTGTTATTTGTTGTTATCTCGACAAAGATAAACACTGAAATCGAAAGTAACAATTTATCGGAAAAAAACTAAATTAGGACGTTTGTGTTGATATTTGTTGTTATTTTTTTGTCTGTTGTTATTTGCTGTTATCAGTTGTTATTTGTTGTTATCAGTTGTTATCTGTTGTTATCTCGACAAAGATAAATACCCCAAAGATAAATACCCAGAAAAAAGGCCACAAAAACAAATGCAAATAAAGAAAAAAGTCCAGTTCATTTATACAAAAAGGTTGTGAAAATAATCAGAAGTACATGTAATACTGTCATTCAAATCAGATCTCACTCAGTCTCAAGCTTTGGGGCGAGTTGCCACATATTTCTTTATTCCTTCGTTGGCCCCAACTCTGTCCACTAGACCCTCGACCAAAGGGAAGTCGCCTGACAGTGGTCGCAGGTAGGACCCAATCCAGCCAGTGATGACGTCAAAGACAGCAATGTCAGCCAAGCTGAGCTGTGAAGAAAAGCAACGTAACAGCTTTAAGAAAGTTATCAGACGTAAACAGAAATGAATGCATCGCAATTAGGCATTTTAAAGATTGGAGTGAGTTGACAGGTGCAATCTGTTGGGTTTCAGATGGCGGATCATATCATGCCAAGTTGAGCTCTCCATCTGTAGCCTACTGAGTCTTGGTAAGGGATATGTGTGTGTGTGAGTGTGTGTGTGTGTGTGTGTGTGTGTGTGTGTGTGTTTGTTTGTGTGTGTGTGTGTGTGTGTGTGTGTGTGTGTGTGTGTGTGTGTGTGTGTCAGAGATGTGAAATCAGGCTTTCGTCAAAATAATGAAATCCGAGAAACAGGCATTTTCCGCCGGTTGGTAAAATTTAGATCAATTTTCGAAAAATTTGCTCTAACATCTTTTATGTCTCTCCTCATCAAAGGCACAAGAAATGTGAATTGGTACTTGTAATTTCCAAGGACATTCAAGATTTCAAAATCACCAAACTTTGGCAGCTGTTTTCTCTCCAGTTTTACCTCTGACACCAGCAAACCCCACCTCCTTCAGTCGCAAATATCTTGACTTCTATTCAAGAAAGACGGGTATTTTTTTCGTTTAAGCAAGGCAAATGAACAAGCCTTAAGATTACACCAATAACTCCACGTGCAAAAATATTGACGAGCACCTGATTCCTCTATGTCGTGGCACATATTTATACGTATAGATGATGTCCTGTGGTTTAGAAGGTGGATAGCAAGGGCTTACCAGAACATGTTGTTCATAGAGCCGCCATCTTCAGATTTTGAGTGTGTGGTGTTTAGGTTTTTGGTGGTGTTGTTTTTGTTTGGGTTTTTTTTAATTTAGTAAAAGTTTTACGGCACTTACAACATATAGATCACATAAGTGCGGAAGATTTGGGATTTACCTCTAGAGAATACTATACAAAGAAAAAAAAGTAGGTGAGATAAGCACGATAGATGTTTGATAGGAAAGAAAGAGGAAACCACACCAGTGCACCTGCCAACCGACCACTTGAGCTGCCATCTTTCTGTCCTCATTTCAATTAGTTTAGACCACACCTCCGTGAATGGACAGGCATTAGTGAATGAATTACAGGGAAGCACATCGATACAATAACCGCTTTTTACAGTCAGTTGACAAAAAAAGCAAGACATACAGACTGAAACAGAAGAAGGAAAATAATCTTAGAAGTGGTACCTACCAGAGGTGTCCTCCAAACACCCACGAATGGAGGAACATAGGCTCACAACTTCTTACAGAAGCGCAGTTAACCCTATCATTACGTCGTGTTTTACTATCGTATCCATACGGCGTGGGGAACTCTGTACCACCACTTTCAAAGAAAAAATGTACACGTTTATCCGATCCGTAGCCTACGCTTTGCATAGTAGTCTGTCAAAATTATTTTTTGGAGAAATACTGAAAGTTTCAAAAAGATCTTTGTACTGGGAAGTACTGGAAGTATTCTAAAATGTGAAGAATACAACCCCGGGGGTGCAAAATGACACCAGGGCGTACAGATGCACAGTTGAGGGGAAGCAAATGTTCATGTAGAAAAAAAAACAATGGCGCCCTCCTGACAGGGCCAGCACATACACGCCGACAAATATATTATACTCACCAGAACCCAGCCACCCTCAAGCCCCCTTC